GCCTGAGACAAGTGTGTGCCTAGTAACCTGTAGACTTAATTTAACTGGTGTGATTTCCTCTGCATTTTCCAGCAGTGGACAGCCAAAGTGCCCCAGCTAATTATATTATAAATCAGAAGCGGTGGGATGGAAACACTGTAGGAATCTCAACACATGGATACTCATAAATCCCTGTTTGATAGCGATGGAGGGGGCCAAAAGAGGAGGGGCAGAGGAAGCTGTTGTAGAGCTTTTAGGGCTTTTCATGTTTATGACAACAGGGCGTCCTTATACCCACTTACCCACGGTTTGGTTTTTTTTTCGTCTTCCCTCGGCCTCCAAAATTAAACCTGGCTTCACAATGAACATCGTGAGTCTCCTGCTGCTCGTGTTCAATTTTCAAACAGTAGGAGGAAAGTGCACAGATAACAAATGCTCACTGCCTGCCAGGTCCCTTCCAGTTTTGTCATCCTTTAGCTGGAACAGCAGCGACATGAATTTGACAGAAGCTTTCCAGGCACAGAATAAGCACGCAGTTCAGCTTTCCTTACGAGCTAAAGAGTCCAAGTCCTTGTGGCCTCATCTTAGGGTGTGCATTCTGCTTATTGCCACTACAACAGCAAAGGACAGTTGCTGCATGGAACTTCTAGGTGACCTTACTTAGCCCACAGTGACTGGGAGGGGAAAAAAAGGGAGTTTTGGAAACAGCTTTTGGAAGTACCTCCCTCTCTTGGTGTCTCTGTGAGCAGTATCTCAGTGGATTTGACTGTTATAGCGATGTTTTTTAGCAAGAACTTACTTACTTCACTGCTACAACACAGGCTGGAAAAACACTTCTTTTTGGAATAGGTGGGAAGACAGAAACCCATAAGGTGTTTTTAAGACAGATTCGAGTTACAGTTAGAAGGTCAGAAAGTTTCCAATTATTAGACCTTTTTTAAAATTTACCTTAAAATAGAATCAGTCTTTTGTGTGTGTGTATTTTCAGTTAATTTAAATTTAAAGATTCAGAGATTCACTTTAGAGCAGCTATTGCCCTTTGCAAACCAAGCTGTATTTTTTAAGTCCTGTGTCATAAGACAGAGACTTCCCATTTAGTAGCTAACGATACTCTTATGTCTAAATGTTTGAGAAAACTGTACCTTCAGTATTAATGTATTTTAAGACATGAGGTTTTTTTAATGGAAGAGATCAGGCTCGCCCTAGTTACATGGTTTCTGTTCCCTTCTGACCGAGGAGGCGGCCACTGCTCGCTCTTGCAGCAATGTAAGCACCAAGAAAAAACAGACAACACAAAAGGGAAAGCATACTGGATTTGCCCTGTGATATCCAGGATCTGGCCATTACCGCCTGTTAATTACAGTCTGAACTCTTGCCAAATTGTCATGTCATTTCCGCTCAACCTCAGAGCAGAAAGCGAACTGCAGAATGCCTATAAAGGGTGCCCTTTCTAGTTCGTATTTTTAGAACTGCTTAAGAGGAAATATTTCTGTGTCACTGGACTTTACAACAGGCTCCTTAGTGTCCTCCAGTATTAAGCTCTTTCCTCTTGATCAGTGGCAATGATGCCAAGTATTGAATGCAAAGTTCTCCTCTCTCCCCCTGTAACCTACTGCATCTGGGAATGCTGTGATTTCAGGAAAGACAGTGCTTCTGTTAGCCTCACTGTACTGAATTGTGTGGTGGAGGGGGCTTGGTTTGTTCTGCACAGTGTATGTCTGATACTGGGGTTGAAGGATTAACGGGATGACTGCAATGTAAACTTCTGCAAGCCAAGAACTCGGACACAGTAAACCCTGCTCACTGAAAGAGGGCTTAATTTATGCTATGGGATGGTGACACACAGTGTGCCGTGGGGGGTTTGCTGAGAAATGAAGGTAGCACTAGTTACCTTCTTAGAGTGTTCCATCGCACGTGCCAGCAATTTGGCGAAGTAACATGCCGTGTCTCCCACTTGCATTTAGGAGCATTCTGGAAGAGTCTTTCGACTTCAGTTTGATGAGTTCCAGATCGTCAGCAGCTCCCATGATGACACCATCCTCATCTGGGATTTTCTGAATGATCCAGCTGCCCAAGCAGAATCCACTCGTTCCCCGTCCAGAACATACACGTACATCTCAAGATAAATAACACTACACTGTACCTCACACTCGCACAGGTAAAAAAAAAAAAAATAAAATAAAATGAGGCTCAAAGGCGGCACTGGATGTAGTGCAAGCATGCTGCTTGAGTAACTAGCTGGGTCTATCAATATTTCTCGTCTTACTTGGGCAGTAATTACAGTGTCCTCTAAAAGGACAGGAATGGTTTTGATACCTAAGAATAGGGAGTTTGTTTTAGGATTTGTGGCATGTGGTGCCTGTGAGTTCCTCTGAAGAACTCCTCCTCCTCTGTCCGTCATCATCAATAATTAAATCAGTTATCACTGCTGTCCAGAAGGAAGAAGAGTTTCTGCAGAGCGAGTAGAGCAGCTGCTGCCTAACAAGGGGATGCAGATGGCCTGACCCTGGGCAGTTGTCACCAGGCAGGAGGTTTTTGCCAAGAAGCGTCAGCTTTATACCCTCCCTCTGAAGTAGTGACCATTCTTCTCGCTCTGCACCAAGAGAACAGTTTTAACTGAGGGAGAAGACACTGAGGCACAAGCGCAGGCGAATTTAATCGAGATGCATTAATGTGCAAAATCATTTACTGATAGGGCGTAGCCCTCGTTCTCTCTAGCATAGTATGGGTCTTAAATTGTTCATAATGGAGCCTGGCTAGTTTGCCTGTCACCTTACCCTTTGTCTTGGCCAGCACAGTGTGGGGAGGACATAATGTTTCATCTGTTTGGGTCAGCTGTAGAGGGGATTTGATGTATGTGAGTGAAGTGGGATAGCATGATTGCCTGCTTTGGTGGGTACATGCACAATTACTGTTAATAGCCTGAGAAAAATGGCAGAAGAGCTGACAGGCTTCTGCAAGGGGGTGTCCACAGTGACATTTTCCCATGAAAATGCTCTGGCATGGGACACATCCTTTTATCCTGTTTGATTGGTAAATGTACAGTGATGCTCTGGAGCTGTCAGATCAGCCGTCTTGATTTTCTCAAACACTCTAGTCAATCAGATGTTCTTTTAAATCATTAAAAGGTTTAGTGCGAATGGGGTTTGTTTGGTTTGTTCTGTTTTTTGTTCCCAGGACTCATTTAAGCTGCAGTATTTAAATTATCTGCCAATGCCAGGACAAAAGAACTATCCACGTAACCAATACTTGCTGAAGAGAAAGGCTTTCAGACTTGTTTCTGGAACAAAGTTGGCATGCGGTTGATCTCAGACAGGGTCTACTCAGCGTGGCTGACTGCTAAAGTGCTGCTATATCAGAAGATGACTTTTATCTTTCATGAACAGTTAACATTTTTAAACCTTCCCATCCCTTTCCACCCTCGTCCCTCTCTTCCTGTTCACTCCTCTTCCCTTTACCGTGTTTGGTTCTCCTCCAAACCCACTCACAGATGTCCTATGAGTATATTTAAGATGTTGCCAGAATGTGTTGCTTTGCCGTTAAGCAGAAGACTTACAGCCACAGTGCATCCTGCTGAGAGGGTCCCTTCAGGGTGGGTGGGAGGGTGGCTGGGGAGGAGGCTGCTGCTCTGAGACTGAAATCAATATCCATTGCTAGGCCTTTGAAAAAGTATTCTGCTCTGAAGAGCAACAGAAAGACTTAAAACAGCCAGGCCAGCTTCCCCCTGCTGCCCTGCCCCCAACTTCCCTGTGGCTTTTGGCTGTTCTGACTGCAGACCTATTTTTTGTGGAGAGAGGACCCTTGAAATTTTACTATTATGAGCCAAATCCATCTCTTTCCTCTCCTGCCTGCTATGCTAACCCTTTGGAAGCTGGATGTATATTGTATTCTCCCTTAACATCTGCTTGGCTGGGGAATGCTAGTCAATGAAAAGTTAAACTCTCTTCTGCCAAAGTCCCAAGCATGATGGAGCGGGGCTGCGATCCCATCCACCCCAGCCCCGAGTGAAGTGTTGGCCCAGGGCACTATTTCACTAGCAAAGGAATTGTCTGTACCATCTTCCCCCTGCTGTTCTCCCTGAAGTCGGTGTGTTGCTGATGGCTTACGAATCATTCCATAAATTGGAGGAAGTTTGAGGCTGGGGTGAGGAGGAAAGCTGGACATTGCTCTTTTCTTTCCAATTGCTTCTCCCCTCAGAGAGGCTATAGCCAGGTGCTGGAAGAGGGAGCTGCTAAAAACCTTGTAGAACTCTCAAGATCGAGCCACCCTAGAGTGAAGACACTACACAGTCTGGCCATCACAGTAAGGCTTTGCTCACACAAATGAGCAAATGCACAGTCCCCTGGTGATGGTAGGTGAGTAAAATGAGTATAGCCATGAGTACAGTCAGTACAGTTAGCAGTGGCTCTGGGCCAGTTCTGCAGCATTTCTGGGGCTGGCCCTGCAGGAAGCCTTCAGAGGGAGAGCCTTTGGTGTGCTTCTCTAACCTATGTGCATGCTGCATTGCGGTTTAGGGACACAGGCTGATTAGTCCCTTTGCTGATAGCTGAGCTGGATCTTTGCTTTCTAGCTGAGGCTTTTGCAAATTGCTATTGTTTAGAAGATAAAAATAGCCCTAAAGAGGAGGGACATAAGAGACAATTCTGCATGTCTCTGAACTAGACAGAGAGGTCTGGGGGGGAACAACTGCTTTTACAGAGCTGGAAGGAATTGCAGCAGGCCTGCATTTAGATCAGGAAAGACTCTGTAAATCAGGCCCTGGCCATTCCAGGTTTGGACCCAGATCTTCCACTGTAAGTCTTCAATAACCCCCACTTAGTGGGGAGTTGCTCCAGTCCCACAGTAGAAAATCAGGGCCCTTCGTCTCTGGGCTTGGGGGGGAGGGTGTTAAACAGGCTTTGTTAACACCCTTTAAACTTGGAACTTGGCAGATGGGAAATTTTTTTAAGCTATTCTCATCAACCTCACTTTGCTGAGGAAGCAGTTGCATTGTTTCTAATTGCTTGGGATGCGCTTTTTCCGCCAATGAAATTTTCCAAGGAGCTGGGCCAAGAGTCCCCAAAGAGCAGTCCAGGGGGCTTAAATCATCTTGGTGACAGCTAAGACAGACAAAAAGGCGATAGAATTATGGAGGAAGGGAAAGCTGGTGCTTGGAGAGTACCTAGTGCAGTTCCTGAAGCACGTGGGCAGCAGTGTTGAGCACTCAGCTCCCTGTATTTTCATTGAGCCTACATCAGTTCTGGAGAGCATCTTAGAGCATGTGGTGACACTCCTGTTTTCTGTTTGAACTACTACTGTGAAAGAGTCAAACAGGTTAACAACTCCACTCTGCTCAGGTAACACTGACAGTGTGGCTTACCTCTGCAGGCTCCTAAAAATTCTGAGTCATGGTGATAAGTTCATCCACAACTAATTTTGGCACCACTCTTAAGTCTAGGGAAGGCTGTTTTGGATTTCAGGCAGCTTTACATATATCAGGCATATTGCAGTCCAAAGCCAGGGTGGCAAGGGAGCAGAGAGAATCAAAGTTTACATCCCAGACTTTGCTGAGTTCAAGTTCTGAGTCTTATTCTTAATGTTATTTGAACACTGTTCCTCTAAGTTCAGTTATTACAAGATTTGCAGTATGGTTGCATGTCAGCAGTGGTTTATATGACCTTGGCTACAGATTTAATTGTTATTTTCCTCAGTTTGGTCGTCCTCTGTCTTTTACATTTAGGTTATTGTAGAAAACAATGATCTGTTACTCCAGCCTCTGAAGGCTGCAGAACTAATATTTAAATTGCATCTTCGTGGCCAGCACCTACAAGGATGCATTTTACTTTGCTAGTTGAGAGAATTTGGGAGAACCGGCAGACTGGCTGGCCAAACAGAAACAACACCATTGCAGATTGTCCTTGGTTGTCATAGCCCTGCTGCTCCATGCTGCTATTCTGTAACTTCTAAGCACTGTTGGGTCGTTGAGTTGTACCATAGTTTGAACTCTGCTGTATAGAGCTGTTTAAGGTACAGTTAGTGAGCGACCGCTGAAATCCGTTTTCGGCACACAGTAAGAATGGTGTCTTACCCTCAAGAAGGGACTGTGTCTGGGTACTTCATACAGAACCGCAGAAGGGCGAGGATTCCTACCCCACTCCCCGAGTTGTACAGATTTTCTGATAGCTAAGAAGGAAACTGAAGTTAACTGATCTAACTTGAACTTGAAACTGCCACAGCCTGACATTTGGTGGTGTTTATTGTGCACCCAGGGAGGAGCAATCTGGTAAGTAGATCTCCCAATGTCAGAATACAGTGGCTTTTTCAAACTTCCCCCCCCGCCCCCACTTAGGATATGCGTGCATGTGTGTGTGAGTGTGCAAGAGTGCATATGAGAGAGAGGTTTCAGCATGAACTGGATAGATAATCTCTCAGCCAGGTTGGAGTAATTGCAGAGTTTATAATGAGAAGAACTAGAATGTGCCTGCTGAAAGGAGACAAAAAAAGGGCTGGAGGTGTCTGTGGGCTTTAAGTGTTGCACATCGCTTTGAAATTAAATTAAATACCTCTGCTGCGTAGAGATCGGCACTTCTCCCACAAGTAGGAAGCTCGCACTAGCCTTCCCTCTTGGACTCTGGGATGGAAAGTACTGGAGGTGTGGGACATTCAGAGCAGGACAATCCATTATGGCCACACCATCTCCTGCTTGTGACTCCTTTGCAATAGGGCACAGTTTTGCTGCAGATATTTCTTATCCTCAGAGGAATACAGCTTGCTTTAAAATATGCAAATAGAAAATGGCATGAAGGAATTTGCAGCGAGAAAGCTTCTGCGGCTGTCTCTTCTGGAGCAGCGCCCTCTGCTCCCCCTTAACGTTCAGGGACAGACACATCCGCTGTTGGAACGGAAGGATTCAGGTGACAAGTTGAAAAGTCTGTGATCGTTGGAAACATGGAAATGCTTTACACTTGTTTCTAAACTGGAAGCTGACTTGGACCACCATGCTCTACCTACCCGCCACCTGCTCCTGCTCCAAAGGATCCTTTTTTCTTTTTCTTAATTTTTTTTGAACACTGAAAAAGCTGGAGAGTATCATGCGCATTTCTCCGCTCCCAGGTATGTGTTTCCTGCCCCTGCCACACATTCCTTTCTCAGTCTGAGCAGAGCTCCAGGCTTGGTTCTGAGGTTTTTGGCATCCCAGCTG